CCCCAAAACCCCAAAACCCCAAAACCCCAAAACCCCAAAACCCCTAATTAAGAAAACACTATTGAATTCTAATCAGAATTATATTAGGAATCCAAAAGTTTCTTTTCATAGGAATCATCGTAGTCCTTATCCTCCTCAAACTTCCTAGGCGAGTATTCCTCGGTGATGACCTCGCTGATCCTCTTATCTGGAGAGGGCTCTCTGTGTTGAGGGACTTTACTGCCTTTCTTTGACTCTTTCTTGCCTGTCACAAGCATAAATACTTCTTCCAGAGTTGTCTGGGATAATCCACAATCAGTTACGATAGACTTTAACTCTTCAAGATTTGGATCTTCGTCACCTTGCAATGAAGTATCCTTTGACTCTTTCTCCAGAAGTTTCAAGATAGGAGCAATGTCCTGGATGTTGTTGATTGGCACAGTGAATGTAATGGCTCCTCCACTCTCATCAAGGAGCTTGGCAGCTGGGACAATTTTTTCCATCAAGTCGATGGCTCTATCAATATTTTCAGGGGCTGTAACTATCGTAATCCTGTACCCATCTCCAAAATTATTTTTAAGGTACAAAGGTGTTCCAATGCACTTAAATTTTCCATCTACAATAACTGCTATTCTATCTCCCAGAACATCTGCTTCTTCCATTGCGTGAGTCGTAAGGATGACATGACGCTTGCTTTTGAGCCTCTGGATCAAATCCCAGACTTGCCTTCTGCTGACAGGGTCCATACCTGTTGTTGGTTCATCCATGAAAACAATTTTAGGGTCGCCAATACAGCTGATAGCCACCTATAAATCGTAAATATCAATGAGTAAGAATTTAGGTCAACATCCAATTGAACATCGGAAACAAAATTGAAAAAATCTGGCAAATAAATTGACTTAAAATCAAAATAAATTTGTGGAAATCTTGTAAACTTACAGTAAGTCTTCTTTTCATTCCTCCTGAGAAAGTTTTAGTTCTTCCTTTTCTGACATCAATGAGTTTGACCGAGGTTAATTTATCCACTACTACATCCTCAATTTCGTCTTCAGGTACGCCTTTGATTCTGCAGAAAAGTCTCATGTGTTCTTCTGCTGTCAGCTCATCCCACAATATATCGAACTGAGGAACGACTCCTATGATTTGCCTCACTTCGTCGATCTCCTCCACAATGTCATATCCGCCCAGAGTGGCTGCACCTGAAGATGGCGCCGTCAGCCCTGTCAACACAGAAATCATGGTGGACTTTCCGGCTCCGTTGTGGCCCAGAATGCACAGCAGCTCGTTCTCCGACATATCCAAGTAAATGCCTCTGTTCGCATAGACATCTTTCTTCGACCTGATGCCACATGGGTATCGCTTGTAGGTCTTCTTCAGGTTGGTGACTCGGATGCCTCTGCAAGGAACTCCGTCTTTCATGTCCTGGATAACTTTGAGCGTCTCTTGGTTGATGCTGTCGTCGACTTTGGAGTCAGCCTGGTACTCGACTTCGGCTCTGATTTGTTGTTCTTTTTGTCTCCTTCTGCGTTGGATGGCCTTCTTTTTGCAGCAGAGGTTCTCCCAGTAGTTTCTGGTTGCGAAGAAGTAGAACCGCTCGTCAGTGCCTCTGTTTGAACTGATGACATGATCGAAGTACCAGACCAGGATCGTATACACAGCCATTTCGACCAGCAATATTGCGAATCCGAATAGCGGAGTCGGAGAGCTATAAGTGTCACCTGTCGAGAACTCTCCGACTTCAGGCTTTGTAAGATCGGCCCAGCCGAAGCCAGTCCCTTTCAAGAACTGCTGGGCGTTGTCATCGAAGTGTGAAGTTGATTTCCGCACAACGATTCCGAATATGAGTGAGAACGTGAATGGAGGGAGCATAAAGAAGAATGCTCTGACCACACCCATGTAAGACCCTGACTTGTCGTTGAAGAATATGAAGTACAACACCAGAGGGTTTGACACCATGATCAAGATCACAATGCAGAGTAACACGAATGCGTAGCTGACTGTGTAGGCTACTTTCTGGTTTGGACACAATGTTGCGAACACAAATGAGCATCCTACCAGAGTCAGTGTGAACATAAAGAACAAGAAAAACAGTATAAAGATGTTTGTGTGGAAGAATAGCTGGAACTGAGTGGCCAGACCAATCAGAATCGTGGCTATCGACACGACCGCCGAGAAGAACACTCCAGTCACCAGCCAATGCAGCCAGTACGGTGCATGTGCCAGTCCCACGACTCAGAGACCTTGACGCAGTTTCTGCTCTTTCTCTCGCACAATCTCTGTGAGCATCACCACGAAAGTGACTATGGGTCCAAGTGCCACATAGAATGTGCCTGCAAGTGACGAAATGTCTGCATCGTTGAACACTCTGGATGCGACAAGTGGGAAGTTGCTCCAGGAGACTTCAATGTGGCTGAGCTCGTCATCATCAAATGAGTCCCAGCGATCGAGATGGTTAGGTGGGAAATAGCCAGCTCTCGACTTCAAGTAGTCAACGATTCCACTGTCAATCGAGTTCTTGATGATGAGCATGTTCTCGTCAACAGCAGCAGGCGCTGTCCAGTTGTTCAGGAATGCTGACGGCATTAGAGTGTAGTTGTACAATATCGAGTAGAACATGATTTCAGCATCAGGCCTTCCAGGATCTGTGTTGGCAGGTCTTCAAGGAATCGTAATGTTCGAGGTGGCTCCGTCTTCCCACTCGGTCGTGCAAAATACTATTCCGTACCAAGTCTTATTGAGATTGTTGTCAAGGTAGCCTTTGACGAATCGTGTCGAAGGAGTGATCAGCAAGTTCTTGACATCTTTGCCTAGCACCAGATCATTCCGAAGTGCTGTGTAGCGCATGGCATGGTGGATCCAGTCATACTGCTCAGCCTGTTCGTCAGATGAGTCTCCGATGATGAAATAACCGAGAGTAACACAATCTTCTCCAACTCATGAAGGGAGAGATCCGGGGTGGTTATCACCTGGATTGGGGAAAGTAACAGCTTGTAAGTCTGAAAAGATTACTTGGAGCACCCACAAGATAAAAACAGATAAAACTGGGGTTAACAATTGAAAGAGTGTTATCTTTTTGTTTCTCCAGAACAGCAATAAATTCTTATGCAGTAACAGCTTAAAATGTAACCAAAATTTAGCTGCTCCTTTCTTTGGCTCTAACTTAGTGAAGCCTTCACCAAGTGTGGAGTCAGATGTAGTAGAGTCGTCATCTCTGACATACTCCCTCTTTAAGAAGGGTTCGTCTTTGTCTTCAAATTTCTCCATATTAAAATTTTGTTATAGTTATTTTATGAGATTTTCCCTTATAAAGAGGGGTTTTGGGGTTTTGGGGTTTTGGGGTTTTGGGG